ACGGTGGATGCTGGAAATATTTAATTCATAATTTATTGCTCGCACAGCGAGAGTGTCAGAGGGTTTGATGGATGCAACGTGGGACCACATCAGTGACCCGGGATGGGCACAGGGAGGTGGATGCAGCTCAGGACCATGTCAGTGATCCAGGATGGGCGCAGGGGAGCCAACCCCAGTTCTGTGGATAACAGAGGACAAACCTGAGAGCCAACCCCACCCCACCAAACCATAACCACAGCGTTTGGAGTCCCTTCCGAGCTCGTTTCTCGTTGGAGCAGCCTTGCTGTGCCGAGGCTCAGATGGATGGGAGTGACCTTCAGGAATAGCTGTGCTAATGTTTATTTTATCAGGACCCAGCTCCGAAGCAGTAGAGCTGCTGGTTATTTTTAACCCAGGCGCTGAGCAGCTGGAGGCCTGGCTCAGCAGGGCCGGGTAACAAATGCTCCAAAGCGGAGCCCGTGCATCATCTCTGGGCTGAGGAATGTTCCTGACAGGGAAGGCAGTGCTGGTTCCTGCCATTAACTCCTTCGGTTGCTCTTGGGACTGCTCTGGGGGGGTTGGTGTTGCCAGAGCTGGGGGCTGGTGTGGCCCCCACTGGTCGCCCTGACTGCAGGAGAACCCTCATTCCCATCCCTCCTGGAACTCCTGCCCTGTCCCCATGCCATGGGGTGGCCATTCTGTCCCTGGGCCAGACCTCCCTTCCGACCCGCTGCACCCCACAGGGATCCCAGCCCCCAGCTGCCTTTTCTCATTGCATTTGAGAAAGGCAGGACAGGGAGATGTGGTGGTTAAAGCTCCACAAGGTGAGGGGAGATGGATCCACATGGTCCTCTGGGAGGGTTGTCTTGAACGGTTTTGTTGGTGCTGCTGTGTGTGAAGCCTGGGCTCAGCAGTGCCCACCCCAGACCAGGGGTGCCCACTCCAGTCCCACATTTGGGAGCAGGAGCTGGGGCTGGGACAGAGCTGAGATGGGTCTGAGCTTGACCTCCCGTGGGGAAGCACAGCTGGGGTGTGGGGAGTTCTGGTCATGAACCCCAGTCTGGCTCGTGGGAGCAGCAGCTGTGCCTGGAGTGCTGCATGTGGAGATTTTATCTCATCCTAAAAGATAAACAGAAAGGGAAGCTGGAGGACGGGCTGTCCTGGGTGGGAAATGCTCCCAGCTGCCCATGGATCGTGGCTGGGATTTGAGATGCCAGGAATGTCAGTGACTGGGACCATTCAGTGTGGGCAGGGTCCCCTTGTCCCCCAGAACATTTCCCTGGGCTGGTGCCTCCTCTCTGCTGGGGCTGTGGGACCCTCAGCAGGAGACCACCAGCTCTGTAATGTTTTTGTGGTGTTTGTTTACAGGAGCAGGGAGGCTCCCACCCTGTTTGTGGGGAGCAGGCTGGAGGACAGTTCTGGCATGGGAAATGTTTATCTTCAGCGGAGCCTTGACCCCAGTTCCAGGCGTGAGACGAACCCACACTCACCTCCTTCATCCCTGTGCTCGATCCAGCTGCCCCTTCAGCTGCTCCAGGCTGGGTGGACAGCCCTGCCCAGAGCCTGGGTGTGCAAAACCCATTGGTTTGATTACCACGGGTGGTTATCAACAAGTAATCAAAGAGTTCTCTCTCCTGTTCTCTGTGCACAGTCACAGCATGGAGCCATTCCCGAGATGGGAGAAATGCCCCAGGAAGGTGTGGGGTGGCTGCCTTGGGGGCTGAACTCACCTTTACCCCATGCCATTGATGCTGCCGAGTCATGCCATGGGACCAGGAGAGCCACTGGGGTCACCCCCTTTTCCTGGGCACGACCCCTGAGCTGCAGAGCAGCCCAAGACCACCAGGCCAAGGCTGACTCGGGGCAGAGGGGGTGGCCAACACGGGGCTGCAGTGCCAGCCATGGCAACGACCCCCCAGCTGGGCAAGGAGCAGCTGGGTGCCACTGTGGGGAGAGGAAGTGCAAGGAGAAGCCGGGTCTGGCTTTAAAAGTGAAAAATAGAATTTTTATTCAGTGCTTGCAGGGTTGGTTCATGTCAAGGCAACGTCCCATCCCTCCCTGCAGTCTCTGCGGTGCCAGGACGGTTACGGGAGCCAAGGCCTGGCTGTACCCAAGCAGCAGATTATTTGCAGTACGTATTTATAGATTTGTTCTGTATGTATATATGGTGCATAGACAGCTTTGTGCTCACAGTATACAATCTCTCTCTACCGAGCTGCAGTCAGAGAATTGCGATGGCGGGTGCAGTCGGGGCTGGAGGGGGGTCGTTCTGCTGCTGCCACCATGAAATGGGCTCTGGGGGGCCGGGGGTGCCAGCACAGCGAAGAGGAGGGGGCTGCTCTGGGGTCCCGGCTGCGCCCAGTGCTGGGGGACAGGCAGGGCAGGGATGTTTCCACCCCACAGGGTGAGGGAACAGCAGTGAAGCGAGCGGCTGCCACAGGAGCCCCCCAGTGCCACCAGCTCCTTTGTCCTGTCCCTGCTCCCTGGAAGGAGCGTGGCACCGCTGGGTCGGGGTCGGGCTGGGCTCTGGCAGTCCTTCGGTTCCCATCTTGGGCTAAAGCGAGGGGGGGGCCAGCGAGGCAGGGTCTCTGCAGCTGGGGGACCACGGCAGCTGCTCACATGGGCTGGGGCGCGATGATGACGTTGCGGTAGCCCTTCACCCCCCTCAGCTGGTCGCTCTCGAAGTCCACCATCAGCTTCTGGAGCCCCGACTGGTGCGGCATCAGATCCAGACGGAACTTGGCCTCCGCCTGCGGCTCCACCGGCTCCTCACTGCGGGAGGGCAGGGGGTCAGCGAGGCCCCTCACCCTCCTGGCCACCTCTCACCCTCCCTGGGCCTGGGACCCCTGTGGGGTGGCCGAGCCCCTTCCCCATCAAGGTGAGGCGTAGGGATGCTCCGAGTCCATAGGGACCAGCACAGCCCCGGCTCCCGCTGTGCCCCAGGACCACCCTCCCTGGGGGCTCGAGGCACAAAAATCCACCCCACTCCCAACATTCCAGCCAGGTGTAGATGGAAAAACTCTTACAGCTGCTTGACCCGCTGCCCGTGGGTGAGGCCGGAGCCCTCCACCACGAACACGCAGTTGCTCAGGGGCACTTCGAGGGGGTTCACCATGCTGA